TTGAGAAAGGAGTCTTGACAAGCTATGTCACCTAAAGACTACTCGCTGCTGCATCACCTATTCTCCCGTCGCAGCATTGCTCGCGGTTGCAGAAAACAATTATGGTTACTCTGCCCATTTTGTTTCAGGCAGGTCCATGAGCGTTCATTCCAACATTCACAGATGAGACAATATTCCATTATCACGTAACTGAGAAGCTGCATTTCTAGTCAATAGCTAAGCCTCGCAAATACTGAGAATAACGTGTTTCACCAAGTGCGAAGCCCATTGGCTCGAAAAAATGAATAACAAATCGTGGGACCATAGCACACGCATGTGGGTTCTCACGCATAATGTCCACCACAAGCTAGTTGTCCCTGTGATAACTTTTCTGACACATTATGCTGCAAACTCCGAATAGCAAAATCAAAAGGATCGATAAGCTACGCTTTCACGGTCTGTGTTCTTATTGCAAAGTTGTTGGCCCATCTTCCTTCCCCCTTTGTGTGACCGATATATTATTGTTTGGAAGCACTTATCTTACGCCGGTCTGTACACCGATGAACAGGATACAAATACGAAACCGCGTAGCCTATTCTCACATCATTATCTCGTCCGTATCCTCTCCGTATTCCTTAGACATAATCATTACAAAGCAAGTATTACCACTGTGAGCAGGTTACATAGAAGTAGTCTGTCTAAACGCTGTCGAATCCGCTTTGTTTGTGGATCAGATTCTGGCCCGACGCACTTTTGGCACCATTTGCCCGTGCACCAATGTAGTCCAGAAATCAGTGATAACGGTGAATACGAATAGTAACATAAACAGCATAAAACGGTGATATGTCCATCAACGACGAAGACGCTCAGCATGTCCGTCGGCGTTCTGCTTGCACTGCGGAGGCAATAGGCTATAACTTTTTGCAAATTTTCCGTGTTGATGGCGCGACATTCGTGGGCAATACTGCCTTTCAATTGTTCCAGTGAAGTAGGCGTTTTCCTGTAAGCTCTTATTTTCGAATAACCCATAGGAAGAAATGTAAATGGTTCAAATCTGTTGACCGGGCAGACCAATCCTTCGACCCTACGCGACCGATCCACTGGTGACCGAACAACTCGATTAAATAATCCTGCACCGTTTGTGCATAATGGGGAGCTGCGCCATACTGAATCTATAACCTTTGTACTCACTGTTTGTTGATTTCATGTACAGCGATGCATTGTGTCTGGTGTTGTGTAAGTCTGGTTATCCGCATAAGTTTGTAAATTTAATTGAATGTCTGCACAGGGGTATGCGGGAAAGGGTGCAGAAGAATGGACAGACCGCGGATGAATTTGCAGTTGTCTTTGGTGTGAAGCAAGAATGTTTTAGTGCCTATCCTGTTTAATATATACACGTCATGTATTGTGCTTTTGATGCCGCTTATGCTGAGGCTGATGTTACATTCTTGACGCTTCTTCACCGCAGTTGGGTTAAACCAACTTACACTTAAACTAGGTCTTTTTAAGCTGGATACATTTCATTCCACTTTATTTGGTTTATTCTGCCTACCTGCATAATCTTCTATTAACTGGCCACGTCGCTTACGCTAATTGTGCTTATCTTCGATAACTTTGTTGCGTTTGTAGCATTTTTAAGTAACTTGTGAACATTTTTACTTATCGCGGATTCGTTGCTAACCAACTTACTTCATATGGTAATTTAGGGATTAGTTATGCCATCGTATCTGTTGCATTATTCAATTTCTTTTATTTCATCTTGTCGTGTCAAGTGATTGGCTTTTGCTTGATATCCCCGTTGTGGCTGCGCTTGATGTGCATGTTGACAAGGTGCTTACCTGTCCATTACCCACAACCTCCTCCCTACTGGTTGCAGGAGACAGTTGGTCGTTGCTGAAGTGGACGGGGTGCACGGTACCTTTGGCAGTGTTAGGCTCGAAGAGTAGTTCCATGCACTTAGTGTGGAGTGGACTACGGTCCAGCCACCGCCTTGTGTACGCTGGATTTCTTGTGTTTGCCTGTGAAGGTATGTGGGTCAGCTATGTTGATGAAACGTCGCTCCCATCCACTTGCCTCCCGGTCTTATTCTTTCGGATTTACACTGGATATTGGGTGTGTGGGTGGTGCAGCGCAAGTCACGCATGGTCTCACTGTAGGCGCAGGCGTCCTCTGATTGGCCACAGTGACAGGCAAACCTTAAACCTGTTGCCACCAGCCGGTGTGAAGCCCTGTATTGATGGTGGGTTGCTGAACATTCGTCGTTTCGTTGCGAGAACCCTAGTCTGTGAGACAACCATCCGTATGTTGCTGTTTGCTGACGACTGTGCGTTGTTAGCACACAACGCGGATGAGTTGCAGCACATAACTAATGCTCTGGCTTCAACAGCGGCTAAATCGGGCTCTGCATCAACACAAGCAAAACTGTCTGTCACTTTTAACCTTCACCGGAAGTGCAATCTACAATGATGCCGCGAATCAGCATTGGTGACGAAGAATTGGATACCACCTCCTGCTTCTGCTACCTTGGGAGTGTAGTGTCGACTGACCAGCAAATATGCAATGAGCTTCGTATCCGCGTCTCGAAGGTAGCGGCGACATTCGGGAAGCTAGAGTACCGAGTGTGGAACAACCATCAGCTTACCATTGGCACGAATCTGATGGTGTACAAATCCATGGTGCTGTCTGTTCTTCTACACGGCAGCGAAACGTAGACGATGTGCCGGCGGGATGTGCGCTATCTCTAGCGGTTCCATCAACAGTGTCTGCTACGGATACTGCGCATCGGTTGGTGCGACAGATTTGCGGACACTGAAGTGTTGCGCCGAAGTGGAATGTATGCAGGGACTGCCTACCTTTGCTGAGACACCTGTGGTGGCTTGGTCGTGTGTAGCGTATAGATTCGACGCGGATACCGAAGCAGCTATCATATGGTCAGCTGAGTAATGGGAAGCGGCATGTGGGGAAACGGAAGCTTCGTTACCAGGACAGGATCAAAGTGAGCCTCTCATATTCTAACCTTGATTGCAGAGAATCGAAGGCGGTTGATCGGCGTGCATGGCGCCATCTGATTTCGAAGGCAGTTGCCGAGCTGCAGGAGAAAGATCTCATACATTCGGAGAAGAAGCGGCAAGTGCGGAGGCGGCAGCCACCGATGGCTTGTACTTCATAGACATCGAGCGCATGCGGTCGCGAGTGCCTGAGTCAGAGACTTAGGGAGCCATGGGCGAGGAAACTCGGGGCCACCACCGGGACGACGACAAATTCTGCAGAGGATATAGACAGGACCGGCGCGGCGTTGGTAGTTACACTGCATTCGCTTTACTAACCGCCTGCTTGCATGCTTAGTCCCCTTATTTCAGGTGGCGGGTTTGATATGTTTTCCTAATGCCTTTTTATCCCAGACTAATGTCGACCTGAACTATTATTAACTTTCACACCTCGCTTAAGCTAATTGTACTTAACTTCGATAATTCTCGCGTTTGTGACATTTTTAATATATTTTTGACGTCTTGAATCTATCCAGGAGTTGTTGACAACCAATTTATTTCATACGCTCATTTATTGTAGAGTTATTTCAGCATATCTGTATGCATTCTTTATTTTATTTTATTTGATGTCGTCGCTTCAAGTGATTGCCGTTGCTTGATATCCCCGGTGTGGCTGCGCTTGATGTGCATATTGACAAGGTGCCTACCTGTCCATTACCCACAACCTCCTCCATACTGGCTGCAGGAGACAGTTGGTTGTTGCTGGAGGGGACGGGGTGCACGGTCCATTTGACCGTGTTATGTTCGAAAAGTGGTTCCATGCACTCAGTGTTGAGCGGACTACGGTCCAGCCACCACCTTGTGTACGCTGGATTTCTTGTGTTTTCCTGTAAAGGAGTGTGGGCCGGCTCTGTTGATGAAACGTGGCTCCCATCCACTTGCCTCCCGGTCTTATTCCTTCGTGTTTACCCTGGATATGGGGTGTGTGTGGTTGAAGCTGTGGGTGTTGCAGCGCAAGTCACCCATGGTCCCTCTGTAGGCGCAGTGACAACAAATCTAGAACCGGATACCGGAAGCATATATATATATATATATATATATATATATATATATCAAATGCTTATTTGATATGTTCCTGCCGAAAGTACCCATGAATTTTACGTGGACCTTAGTGAGCCCTAGTTTCATCATTGACCACCGGTGCTTTGTTTTTTCCAGTGTTTCAATAGCATTTTTATTATTTTTCTTGTATTTTGGCGGAGAAATAAAAGCGGAGATCTAGTGTCTCGTTTGCATTGTCCTCTTCATCAGTTTGCGTTCTTGCTGGCAAGTGTTGTGCAAAGTGATTATATGGCCTATACAAATCACTTTGTCAGCTATCCGTCCCTTGCTGGCCTTCGTTTCAGTTATCCAGCAGGCACTCGCCACTTTTTCTAGTTATCCCACCCGATGTGTAAACGCGTGATAACTCCTGGTATAAACTGGTGTATAAAATTTGTTGTTAACAAGGTCTGGCTCCTTCTAACTTCACAATATCTCATTGATTGTTTCCGCCTTCACAATTCCAAGCCAAATTATTCAGTTAAAGCTCAACTACTTGACTTGAGATTCTTGTCCACGAGGCTGTGCTGCTTTTTGTAATGATGTCCGCGGCAACGGATTGAAGTCAGCTTGATACCTGAGTAGCTTTTCATATCAATTTCATTACCTTTATATACCAACACACTGTTCGCTTTTAGCTTTTATTCCCCCTGAACTATTACTTACAGTTATCCTTTGGACAAATTGTACAAAGGATGTGAAAAATCTCTACTCGTCAGCTCAAGTTCTTTCACAAACTCCAATTTTTATGAAACCCAAGCGCTAGTTTACTACACTTTTAAATATTTTAACTAATTTACCTCGATGGTTCACACGGCTAGCTGTTGTGTTATGTTGGACTGTCCTGTCCTATTAAGCTTAGAAGATACTTCAAGGAACAGTTATGAAGAGTTCTGATGCAAAGTGCTTTTTTAATTCCTTTTAAATCCGCAGAGATCCCGAGGTGGATATGCATGGCTGGTAAGGAGCAATATCTTCGGTGTCAAAAGCCACCTTATTGATGCTCGCAATCCGTTGAGATCAAATTGGCTCCGGGTAACTCATAACACTCATTTGCGTAATCATTTATGATGTTTGTTTCGTTCGTTTAGTCAGCTGTTCGCTTTTTGCATCTGCATCATTTAATCTTCGTTTTCTAACCTTGTAAGTAAGCAGCTGCAATTTTTCTAGAGTGATGTATCTTACCATTGCAAGTTAAACATTAATAATCAGATGCACAGTTTATGACCAACTGATAACTCTTGAAATTAACATCCCCTACTCAATTTGGATCTGGCTGCGGAAGCTGTGAGTTGAAAACATTTGACTTACTTATTTCCGTGTGTTCCACAACTTTAAAAGGCCCCACTACCTCATGGCTTGGTCGGCGCCAGTAGTCCTAGCTTTCCCCGTGCAATTGCTCAAATCGGCGCAATTTCAGTTGGTCGGCCAGTGGCATCATCTCTATTAATCAAGTCATTGGGGTTACTCTGCGTCTCAGCAAAGCCCTTCTGACCTTTAAAGGCATTAAACATCAACCGAGCACACGTGGCACTATCTTAACGGTAAAGTACAAAGCGTTCGACACTGCGTTACCGCTGCAGATCAGAAACAAGATCATAGGGTGTTGAAAAGCTTAGAGAAATAGTTTTGTCACTTTTTATCATTTTTCACGCTGTTTAAATATGAGTTCCTTTGTAATCGCCTTCAAATGTAAAATATCGTCTTGACGGTAGCTGGCTTCTCGCACTTCGATCTATGATGTAGATGTAAACCTGGCTACCCGGCTTTTCGTTCCCTGTTTTGTTTACTGTGGAGGCACCGGATTTTCTCGCTTTATCTTGAAGTTTTTAATTCGATGTCGATGTGCATCTTGGCTGAATTCTTGGTGGCTTTCAGAGTCAGAACATGCGGTGCTTTCTCTCCATTGACGTCCCTACAACTCAAGTCCGGGCAGTAAAAGAGTTATCTTTCTCCTAGTTGATGCAGCAAATTTATCCTGAGCATATATTTAGTTTCCAACTGTATTCGTGCAAATGCTCAGTCATCCTGCCAAGCGATGCTACGTAAGGGTCGTCCACGAGCGTCGGGGATATTGCATACAAGTATCTCGCTTTGAATCGTAATTCAGATCCATACAGTCGACATCTGGTGAAACTGGACAAACGTGAACAATATTTCACTTTCTCGTTCCCGTACTACTTTCGCTAGTTGTCTAAGTTATTTATCGATAACTCCACGAACAGTCGGTCTGTTTTATCCCACTTACTGATTTTCGCTCCATCGCGACGATACTGGACCTTAACGCGATGCGATGGTTTGCGTGCCTCAATGATCCATTACACTATGCCGAATGGTGCCTTCGCATCTTCAGAGGCACTCATACCACATTGGCCAATGGCTAGAGGCCTGACAAACTCAGTCTCCTGGCCCTCCAGATAGGAGTTGGAGTGAAGGTGGCCCATTACTTCATAAAATGAACTCTGTAGCCCAGTGCCGATACCCCGCTGTCTAGCCGTAAGGCTTTTGAACCAAAGGCTATGGTTGAGAACCCTAATTATTCTTCTGTCTAGGCCGGGGCAACCTGACAGTATCATGCCCACACAATACGACATTACGACTTCTGGTCCAAACCATCCTGATGCCCTGTCCGTCGCAGAGGATAATAAACGGCGCCCTATCTGCTGCCTCGAGCAGGCTGAGTAAGGGTTTGGATGCTACTGCTCAAGCCTTCCCGTCTTCTTATCTCCCCTCTTGCGCTTTTCCATCCTTGTCATCCCCTTCCAACTTCACTTTTATCCCCATGTTTTTTACCTCGCGATTCTTGGCCCTCTCCCATCTTTGTTCAGTAATCATTCGTCTTCTAATTACCACTCACCCGCAAACATAGGGCGTCGTTCTGGCCCAATCGATAAGTTCAGCTCCAGTCAGACAGAGTCCAATTCATCTGCTTCTATTTGTAGCCATCTATTTTCCCTTAATGTACGCACTTTGTTGCGAATCGGCCAACAAGCAGTACTTGCCCGAATACTGGAGACCCTAGAAATCGATATCTGCGGCTTGTCAGAAACGCTTGCAAGATTTACGTTCTGTGATTACCCTGCGATTCCCAAAGTGCAACACTGGTGGCTTCAAATACCGGTCAAGCCGGTGTGGGCATTACACTTAGCCTCCGGGCTGAATCTGCCTTGAGCGATTGGATCCCAATGAACAGCCGGATGTGCACTGTCAGATTGGTTGGCTCGTTCCATGCATCGAATGCGTGTGGAGACAAACAGTGCTTATTTGTCATCGCGGCCTACGAGCCCACAAATCGTTTCGTTGGCTCGGTGCAAGCTGACTTCTACCATCAAGTAAACGCGCTTCTCCGTCACAAAAAGTAGTATACTGTGGTGCTTGCTGGTAATTTGAACGCCCAATTTGGAAAACTGTCCACTGATGAACTTCATCTGGGCGGCCAACACGGAGTAGGCTCCCGTAATGATTACAGTGAGCGAGCAGTTATCGCTGGAGGGGATGCATCCAAAACTGTCGCTCTAATTGGAGCACAAACGTGAACGCTCACCACGCGCTTGTTTGCGCCGACCTCCGCGTGCGTTTTGGTGGACGTCTGCTACGGCACTATGAACGTAGCCAGCTGGCGAATCCAGATGTTCTGAAAACGTATCAAGGTACGATGACATCTGAGCTAAGTAGAATACCATTGAACACAGTTGAGCATTGGTCGCATATCCGCCGGACGTTATTAGAAGCAGGCATGTCTTCATGTGATAACTCAAATTGTTTACATGGATATTGGGTTTCCACACAGTCTCTGGAACTTCTGAATGCTCGGCGACGTGTCCCTGCTGGAAGCGAATAAAATGAAGCGCGCAAAATTCTCATGGCGAAACCGTTCTAGCCCGAAGAGAAATCGCGAAGCCTATTGGTCTCATCGTATCTCGAAGATGAAAGTGACTGGTGCCGTTGGTAACCATCGTAAATTGTTCTGTCTGATACAAGCAGCGGTTAGTAGGAAATCTGGTGTTAGTGAGAGCATTTGCGATTAAATTGGACGGCAGATCCACAGCTTGTCAAAGGGCTTGGAGCATTGGGCGGAACACTGAGAAGCAGTTTATTCAATCAGAGTTACCAGTTTCTCCATCGGCCAATGAGCGCCCTACTCCCTGGGTCGTCCCCTTGAATAGGCCATCAGGCGCAAAAATCTTACGCGAGGTCAGACGGCGGAAATCGAACAAGATCGTCGGAGCAGTTGCATCTCATCCAGACCGCTTCACTTTTTGGCGACCTACACTTTTGGACGATTAACCTAACTTACTAGTGCATCTATGGGAGCAGGAGACTGTCCCAACAGACTGGAGACCCTCCGTTATAGTCCCTATTTTCAAGAAAGACTCCCGTTCAGAATACGGCAGTCATAAGGGAATCAGCTTGATCTCTATTGCCTCCAAGCTACCTGCGTCTGTCGTTCCCCACTGACTCACTGCTACTCGTGAAAGTACGATTCGTGAGGAGTAAGCCGGGTTTCCTCGAAATCGAGGCTGAGTTAACCACATCTTCACATTACATCACTTGTAGGAGCACCGCCATGTTTATTGGCAACACACTTTAGTCATTTTCCTAGATATCATAGTGGCCTTTGTTTCGGTTGCTTGATGTGCACTTTGGGGCTGTCTACTAAGAAAAGAGTTGACCGATAAATACGTAATCAGAGCGCTGTACGCGCATAGTTCGGGCAGGTTGATGGTTTACGAAAAGCTTTCGCCGCCCACAAATATCTCCAGCGGTGTGGGACAACCTTGCTCGCTGCCACCTTTGCTCTTTTATTTCGCCATTGACGAAGTCATAGAAACGGCGTTCGCTGGCCACGACTTAGGTGTGAACGTGCTCCCAGGTGAACGAACCCTTGACTTTGTGTATGCGGACGACACTTCCCTCATCTGTGCTAACTCCCGAACGTTCCAAGTTGCATTAGATAAATTATCTCTGGCTGTCAGTCAGTTCGGGCTATGCTTTGCACCGTCGAAATACGAAGTGCTTATCCAAGATTGGCAGGGTTCCACTCCCGCACTGACTCTTGACGGTGTTAATTTAAAGGTCATACAGAAATCCAAGTATCTGTGCAGCTATATCAGCGCTATTGGAATAGATGATCACGAACGGCATAGCAAAAGCTCAATTTGGTAATCTCCGCCTTCTGTGCCGCGGGCTTCATTTCTGTCGCTCTGAAAGGCATAAGTTGCAATGCATCTGTCCGTACAACCCTTCTGTACAGTGGTGAACCTGACACATCAGGTCGACAGACCTAAAGAGGCTAATCGCGTTTGATCATCGCTGCCTTCGCAACTTGGTTCATGTCTGGTGGGAGCACTGCATGAGAAAGGAGGATGTTGGGCTTCATGTATCCGGTGCAGGAAGAGCCAGTGAACCGCTCAGCCCCACTACATCACGCACCAGACTCCGATGGCTTGGCCACGTGTTGCAAATACCAGCCCACCAACTCTCGCATCGTACATTGCTTGTACGCCGAGGTTGGGGATGGACAAACAGAAGGAAAGGCCAAACAACGAGTTGATCAAGAGGAACGAGTGCCCTCACTTCGAAGTTGGCATCAGTTGATGTTTCCCAGCTGCCGGGCTGAGGTCCGAAAGACCATGAACACGTTTGTTTAGATAAACTAGCCGACATGGTTAAGAGCCGACCTCAATGGCGTTTGTTTTGGGAGTTTCTTTATCCCTGTTCTCCCGCGTAGCTTCCCCTGCAAAGACGATCTCAAATAGGTAATTAACATTTTGTCACTTATTTTTAGCTTTTCAGTAAACATTGTTTTATCTCTTTTCATTCCTATATCGCGGCACATTAGCTGAGGCCTTTCTCACCCTCGACTAACGTGTATTGATGACGATGCTGCTGCTGCTGCTGCTGCTGCCGCTGCTGCTGCTGCTGACGATGATGATGATGATGATGATGATGATGATGATGATGATGATGATGATGATGATGATGATGATGATGATGATGATGATGATGATGATGATGATGATGATGATGATGAT